GTATTCGTTCTAATGAAATTATAATACGGCTAGATATAAATCTCTTGATAACTTCTATGATGTTGAGATCTTTGCAAAACACCGGACCGCAGGTGTCTGCGGTGGGGAACGAAAGCGCTATTGTCCTTTCCGGAGAGTAACGCGTTCACCACCCCACCATCCGGGTCCTTCGCTCCGCCTGTTTCTCAGCTAGTTCTATCGATCACTGCCATCAACAATCAGCCGTCAGCGCTGATATACCTCTTGATATATATAACATATGTGCTTAAATTTTCACTAAATTTATGGCGCAAATGATCTGTGAATTTCTGGATTTGTAGAACTATTAGTACAATTCAGGGTTAGGAATATGACTGGATCAGATATGAGTAAAATGGATATAAAAGAACCTTATAAAAAATATAGTATGTTTCTGATTTGTGGTATCTCCGTTCACCCAGTTATCACAGCCTTCTTACTCCCACTCTCTCCCGCTCTTAGGGAATTTCGACTATTTCGTCTAGGAATAAGGAAAAAGAGAAGTGTATGTGGGTCGAACAAGGATTAGTGGGCGTCGTTGCATGGGATTTGGTCAGTGCTTAACAATGGAAACCTACTAATAAAGGCTTATATGATGCAGATATTCATCAGTGAAAAGTTATTGGAAAAATTCGACTATACATGAAAAAATGATAATTTCGACTTGTTAGTCTTATGAATGTTCAATTGAGAAGTCGGCTAATGAATGTTTCAGGTTACTGATGGGACAATGTCGGGCTCGGGCAAGCGTCATTCAATGACGGCACAAATATCACGTCAAGCACGGTGGGCTCATTCATCCAGTGCTTTCTCTTTATAGAAAAATATTTATATTTTTCTTTTTTTACCTCATGCCCATTAACTAGATACTACCAAGGACGACCAAGTCCATTCTTCACCTTTGCAGTGGTAAGGTGAATATGATAGGGTGTTCCCAAGTTTGCTCATACCAGTAACGGTTCAAAGGAAAGTTTGCTGCATTCTGAACAGCTTCTTACTGGCCTATTGGAAACACAGGATTTCAAAGCCCCTTCTCAGAGGTTTACATAACCCTCCCAGGAAATGAATCTCTAACGTACTTCGTACTCCATTCAAAATCCAAAGGAAAATAACCCTGTCGGAATGTTGAATAATTATGTATTGAACATTAGTACATACGGAACAACTTCTATAGAACTAATCCTACATGAAATGAAGTATTATTGTTTGTGAGTGTGATGAAACGACTATAATTGAAAAAATAAGAATTTTTGAGCAAGATAGCTTGTTTATGGAAATGAATCACTCTTTCATAGTAACCGGAATTTTTATAAAACTCTAATATACTCACTGTTATGTTACCTTTTCGATTTGCTGCCTATTACTACTTTTCTCACGGCAGGGTATTATATTGTATTGTATGTGATACAATCACAAGGTGGGTGTGGTGTACTGATTGGAGGCACTACTGCGAAATACACGTGGAATCGATCCCCGCACCTATGGCCCACCAAGCCCTCTATCCCTCCGAAGTCGGCAAATTGCTAGCAGACTTGTTTGGGAGGATAGCAGCACTGGCTTGATACATCGGTAAACCACTGGGAGGCACTGTAAAAGCCAAATATGCATTCAATCACCTCCAACGATATTTAGTGATGTCGAATGCATGGCGCATCCCTCAGGGATTGATCAACGCCGAAAGCTTTATACTTTATCCTTTTACAATCACAATGACGCTGAGACTCTGGGCCACAGATGTCTGTAGTGCTAAACGAACACGCTATTACCCTTTCCGGGGGCTAACGCGTTCACCACCACACCATGCAGGTCCTTCGTTTCACCTCTCTCTCAGCTAGTTTTCTATTGATCAGTGCCATCAGCAATCACCCGCCAACGGGATTGATCTCTCCGTGTGGTGGTGAACGCGTGAGCCTCTGAAAAGGATAATAGCGCGTTCGTTTCATCCCGCAGATATCTGCGGTGCGAAGTTCTGCAAATATCCCAGCATAATTGTGGTGTGCTCACTGTTCTCTTATAAACGATATGCATTTATGGAATAACAGCAAGAAACAAATCTTAATTTAGCACCGAAAGCTTGCATTGAATTGGTTTGAAAAATGGCTTCAATATTATGAATAGTGAAAGCATTATTACTACTGTTCGTGCTTTCTAGAGTTATCTATTTTGTATTGTCATTTCCAGGCGTTTATCAGCTGCTATCGCACCACAGTTAGTGAAAATCGAACCGATCACTCCCTTACAAAAACTTCAACGTATTGACATCAAACTTAGCGATGTAAACCAGGTATGAATGCTATTAGTTATGAAAAAGAAATTGTCGAAGATCACATTGCTACTTGCTTACTTAAATGCATGGGAACTAACTTTATCCATCGACTGAGTCCATGAGCTCAGTTCGCCTTTTGACTCGTATTTTGCTTCTTGTGCAACTTTATTTTTAGCAGAGTTCTTAAAATAGGTGATTCCGAGCATTTATACCTCCTTCGCATAGGCAATAGCTGATCGTTGTGTGAAATGAAAGATTTACCGCCTTCTATGTGTTGAGTATATATCATCTAGGATTTTGAGGATTTGAATAAACTTGAAGAGAATAGTACTCTCAACTGGGTTTTCGTGTTCAAATGTTAAACCCATTTGTACCTTGAGTTACTTTACTAAGAAAGGAAATGCCGCATAACTGTTGCATTCGTAACTGAGCAGGCCTCAAAAAGAATTCTGTGGGCCCAGCATATTTGACATCTGCCTGGAAATTCACTGACTAGGTAGTAGTTTCTTTCCCCGAAGTCTGCCGTCCAAAGGCTTTATAAGGCCGTCACCTTTCGTCATTTCGTGACGATATTGTTACCAAGATTGCAGTTATTTGTGGCACTGGTTTACTCTTAGCTGAGCTCCCGAATAGGAATGTCGGTCTTTTTCTCAGCTTGAAAAACCCTATTGAAGAGCGAACTTTCGTATCGTATATCGCTGTTCGACATCCAGAAACACAAACTGGGCTACGATCGGGCAATGAACTAGCGAACTCCAGAAAAAAGAAAGCCACGCAAAGAATCTTAAAAAACAATACCCAACACTTGTACATTTGAATGAATTTTTCCACTATAACCACAGTTAGCCTCCATTTACAAAAGTAATGAGAATGCTGAGGCTTTCTAAACGACATAGTGACAGATGGCCATGGCGAAGTACGAGGAGTTACTAATGGCTTCCTTCTTGCCAAGAATAGAAGAAGAATTAGGGGTTTTGGTATATTTCAAACTAGGCAGATAACGTGTTGGTTTCTTTTTCAACAATCACAAGGTTGTTATACAGCATACTTCTACTTCCGTACAATAAACATATGCAACAAACAGTAGCTGACGTTTCGGCAGCCTTGCCTTGAGCAACAAATAATAATAATAATAATAAAGTAATACAAGTTACTACAAAGAGAATAAATGTGGAGTGGGAAAGGAGAACTATCAATGAGCTTCTCCATCCTAGTTTGCTGTCCCGTCGTGGCTAGTTGATGCTCTGGATGTAGGAGAGCGATGTAGAGGGGAGAGTTCATCTCTTAGAGGGATCGGAGAAAAGTTCTGTGTTTCTACTAGGAAAACCAGCCAAGGGAAAACCCAGTGCCATGAATCACTTCCGACCTGGCAATAAGATTGTCACTAGAGACTGTTAGGGAAGGACCTAACGCAGCTTGTAAAATTCTTGCCTATTCAGTAAATTATCAATGAAATGGAGATTGCGTCAGCATGCTTTTCCATTCATGAAGGCGGATTATCCAATCATTCAATTAAGTATCAGCTTTGGAAAATGTTAGTGCTCACTGCTCAACGGAAATGTAACTGAATCTAAAAATAAGAAAGAATAATCCTGATCATCCTGATCGTCTCTCATTACCGAGTTTTCGTTTGTCGATCAGTTTTTAATAATTCCCACCTGATTCAGGACAATTTTGACACGATTAGATTTAATGCAACCAATATATGATATAAACCAAACTATTCAATGATTTTGTGAATTCTAGTATCGACGAGCCGTAAATCAGTACGTGCTGAAAAATTCAGTACTGTTCGATCCAGTCGATTTTGATGTGATGGACCCAGAAGGCCAACATATAATTCGTGGTAAGATTTAGGAGAAAAATCTATTCTAGCTAGCTGAGAGACAGACGAAACGAAGGACCCGCATGGTATGGTGGTGAACGCGCTACTCCCCGGAAAGAACAATAGCCCGCTCGTTTCCTATCGCAGGGACCTGCGGTTCGGAGTTTTGCAAATATCTCAGCATTATACGAGTTAGATTTCGCAACATACCCTGCCAGTAAAAAGGATAGACAGTAAATAAAAAGGTTAAGATTGTGGAAAAATTATTATTTATCATCAGTAAAAAAAACTCAGGTCTAAGCGAAAGAGACAAAACCGAATCTAGCAAAATCTCGTTTTATTTAAAAAGCATAAAAGGATAAAGCTTTTGGCGTTGATCAATCCCTGAGAGATGCGCCTTGCGTTCGACTTCAATAAGCATCGTTTGGAGATGATTGAATGCATATCTGGCCTTTACAATGACTCGCGGTGTCTTACCGATGTATCGAGCCAGTGCTGCTAACCTCCCAGACAAGTCTGGCACCAATTTACCGACCCCGGGAGAATGGAAGGCTTGGTGAGCAGCTGGCGCCGGGAGCGATCCCATGTGTATATTGCAGAGGGCCTCCGACGACTGCGCCGCATGAGCCGCTCACGTTATTTGACGTCTCACGTTTAAAAATCCAGAAATTCAGGCGGAAAAAGAAATCGCGCTGCCACAGCTACGGTAAATAGTAATCTGAACGAAAAGCCAGATAATGAACAAAAATCCCTTATTAAACCACTAAATATTCAAAACGTGACATTGACAACAAAAATCTTCTAAGCTTTTTGAAATTCTATGGTTTTTATGACAGTTAATTAGTGTTAAATTTGAAAGTTATTGTGGACATTGATATTTCAACCACAACGATGCTGAGATATTTGCAAAACTCTGGATCGCAGGTGTCTGCGGTGGGAAACGCGCTATTACCCTTTCCGGGGGCTAACGCGTTCACCACCACACCATTCGGCTCTTTCGTTTCGCTTGTCTGTCCGCAATTTCTGTTGATCAGTGCCATCAGCAATCACCCGTCAAAGAGATTGACCTAGGGAGCCCAAATCGACAATGAACCCAGTTAAGCTGAGGCTGTAGTCGAAATCACATTGTTAACAATATCTCAGCATCATTGTGATTGTATTACACATAATACCTTGCCGTGAAAAATTGTAATAGGCAGTAAATGAAAAGTTAACATTGATATTTCACATGAATAATAGCAGTAATGACATTAATAATTACCAACATTTATTGATAATAATAGTAACAATAATGGTAATAGCAACGATTTTTCCAGCAAGTCTCTATCCGGAAGGTCTTGCCGTACGTGAAGGTAAACGGAAAGTCTACGATCTATCGTTTATCGATGAAGATTCTCCCAACTGTGTCGCAAAAATCAAACATCCAGTCACGGGTATTTATAAAATTACCAACTATATACATTTATTACAGTTTTATACTACGCATATATTATTTTTACAACTATTTAGATGACGTCTACCTCTTATCACACTTGGTTAGATCATAGTGAACTTAATTACTGAAACAATTATGTAATATACAAAGTTTTATTTGTCTATACCATCTAAGCTTACAACGGTTTACCGCCTCATCATGGCTGGGAGGTGGTCCTGTGCGTCGGGCTGCAATATACAACGGAGGAATTCTTCCCTCGGCAGGGTCTCCCATGCTAAGAAAGAGTCCGGCGTTTCCACCAGGAAATCCAGGTAAGACTAGACCGGTACCAGGATCCACCACCGTCCTGGTATCAAACTAGTATTATGGATGCAAATGTTCCCTTGATCCACAAGGCCGGCGACTGCCTGTGAGTCTGACGACCTGGGGTAGACTTTGGCCAGGTTAACCTCGGAGCTCCAGGGAAACACGATGGCTAAACCAGCAAAACTCCGAAAAATGGAGAGTTCGCTGGGGCCAGCGCAACAAATGGGGACGGGCCATCCAAGTTACAAGCAAGTATACCGTCCAAAGCATAATTGGTGATGATAATTTGGTACCACAATGATCAGAATGTGTATTGATCGAGTTTGGAAAGATCAGTTATCCTGCCGCACATGTTATATATTACAATGGTTCATTTTCTATTTTTATGGTATTTCTATTGTATTTCGCAACCAATTATGACGGCTACGCGTCCTATAATCGTCAATTCATGCTGACAAGCACATAAAGATACCCGAAAATCCCTAGAAAATCGTACGAAAAAGTGAAGCTCGCTTTGAAAATTTCACCTAAAATAGGATTTGTAATAGTAGTTTGATGGTGCAATGCTAAAGATATGTATTGATTGAATCTAGAAATTAACTGATATGTGATTCAACAGGAATACAGTGAAGCTGATCTTCAAACAAACCGAAACTATAGCGGATTAGGATATTCGATTTCGCAGTGATACGGAGCCGAGAGCTTTTAACTTTACGGAGCCGAATCTTAGTGCTGTATTTTGCTTTAGCTTTACTACATTAATCATACTACAAAATTAAAAATAGTATTTGGTTATACATATTTAGTATAAAATGTTAATAAGATTTCAGTTTAGGTATGAGTGTGTACGAAATGCAAGAGATCGGTAATATCATTACTATTCAGTCAAACACAGACGATTCGCTCAGGTAGGAAAGCTTTTCCCTGTACTACTACAACATTAAATAAAAAGTACGTACCAGGTTTTAAAAAAATGACAATGAAAATTCCAACAATTAACTAGTGTGAAGATTCCTAGTTCAAATTCGTACGACTTCAGTAATTTCCTTCCAACGTGTTATTCAAGTTTGGAACTGCTTTATATTTGTACTACACGGCCTCCCAACTGTATACCGCTTCATCGTGGCTGAGAGGTTTTCGTGGGTGTCGGGCTGCGATGTACAACGGGTGGATTCATCCTCTGGCAGGGTCTCCCAAGCTGGGAAGGAGTCCGGAGTTTCGATTAGGAAGCCCAGCTAGGAGTAAAGCAGTACCAGAATCCGTCACCGTCCTGGTATCAAAATAGTGTGGCTAATCTCCTTGTGATCCACCAGGGCCGCGACTGCCTATGGTGGCGACGAACGTGCGGACCTTCGACTAGGCTGATCTCGGGACTCCAGAAAATTACGGTGGTAAAACGAGGATGACACCGAAAAAATGAAAGTTGTGTAGTGAGCCTGCACAACCAGTGAAGATGGGCCATTCAAATATCCAAGTAAGTATGTAACACTGCGGACAATACGAGAGATATATGCCTCACACATAAGGTGTGTGAATGGCAGTTCAGATTGCCTTGCCCACACTGAATCTTATTTCTTGTAGTAAAACTATGAAAATCCGTAGTCTTTGCCTACAAAACAAAAGTTCTGTTTTTTGAAACAATGAAATTCCGATTTTCTAGAGCCGATGACATATATTTGTTCATCTTTTTTGATTCATAGCCCATTTTTCGAACATTGAGGCAAATGAAGCAGCATGTTTTCGCCAAGCAGGGGATACAATGGTACTCCTAATGTATCTCCCATTTTTTCAGCTACCACTTGTAGATTTCATTTTCAATTTTTGAAAGTTTTTACTCTAAAGGCATTTAAATTTGTAGTTCTGATCTTCTGAAATACTTGATTGATCAGGAAAGTATCACGAGTTATCGAAAAACCAGTTTCGTCGCGAAAGGGTTAATTGTTGAAAGCAGTCAAATTAGAGTGAAAAGGTGCACAGTCATTCTTGCAAATATGCGAATGTTATGCAGAGAGAAAAGAAGAAAAGAAAGACAAAGTAATTAATACAATGTTTCCGGTTTGTTCAACGTTTTCACAGTCAGCAAATAAAATAAACCGCACTTTTCCTTATCCTATTTAGTGTTGTGCAGTTTTCTATTCAGCGTAATTTATGATGCGTCAAAGAACAACACGTGCCTTGAACAATTCAATCGCCAACAAAGAACTCGTTCAGCAAGGGATTCGGGATGGCACTTATTTTCTTTAAGCTAGCACAAAGCGTAGTAATATTTCGAAACCGACTTTCCCTGAGCCTCGATATCACTAATCAATATGTATTCTTTCTTTGATGAGCTTACACGAGGTTGATAATGATGTTTATTTTCGGCCAACGTCTCGACGTCTTCGTCTTCCTCAGAGCCGATGATCCGAGTCGATGGTCCTCGCTTGTTATTCGCCTCGACGTGGCAGCTTCGCCTTCGTGTCGAGTTAGGTCTTCTTCAATGAGCCATCTCCTCGAATGAGGCATCCTTACTCAGTGATGCCCTCTTATACACGATGCTGATGCTGGATATATAATGATAATGTCCGGTGATAACAACTTGCTTTTCTTCCGGACATACATCATTGCGCACATGGTGCAGAAGTCGGTGTTGTTATCAGCTAACACAAAGCGTAGTAATATTTCGAAACCGACTTTCCCTGAACCTCGGTATCACTAATCAATATGTATTCTTTCGTAATTATTCCTCGTGTAAGCTCATCAAAGAAAGAATACAATAGAATATTTATTTTCTTTAAGTTCATTCCTGAACCTTACTTCACCCACTTACGTCTGAGGAGCTGAGGAGACTTTTATAGTATTTTATAGTATTCTATAGTATAGCAACGCAGGCGAAACGAAGGACCCGTATGGTGTGGTGGTGAACGTGTTACTCCCCGGAAAGGACAATAGCGCGTTCGTTCCCCACCATAGACACCTGCGGTCCAAAGTTTTACAAACATCTCAGCAACGTTGCGGTTGTATTTCGCTTAGTAACCTGCCATGAAAATTATAGAAGGCAGAAAATAAAACGTTAAACATTGTGATTTCAACTACAGCCATAGCTTAACTGGGTTCTATGCCGATTTGCGCTCCCCAGATCAACCCCGATGACGGGTGATTGCTGTGGCAAAAAAGATCGATAGAAATAGCTGAGAGACAGGCGAAACGAAGGACCCGTATGGTGTGGTGGTGAACGTGTTACTCCCCGGAAAGGACAATAGCGCGTTCGTTCACCACCATAGACACCTGCGGTCCAGAGTTTTGCAAATATCTCAGCAACGTTATAGAAGTCACTATCCTCACACAGGATGTCTAAGCACCAACGCGGAAACTTCTTGAGGCTTTTTGGATAAATCCCAAAAACCCGAGAATGAATACCAGGGAAAAATCCCCAGAGATAACACATCATCCAACCTTCTTTCTCAGAATTGGATTTTGATGTGAGGTGGTGAAGTCACCAACCATGTGTGACTCTAAGCGGCTGTTCTCTTTGTGCTGTTTAAGGGTTTGGCTTAGTAAATTACGTATCCACTCACCCCTCCAGCGGTACGTATACTCGCACTGTTCGGAGGCGCCACTGCAACCAACACACGTGGAATCGATCCCAGCGCCCATGGCCCATCAAGCCTTCCATCCATCCGAGGTGTGTCGGCAGACTGATACCAGACTTCTCTGGGAGGATAGCAGCACTGGCTCGACGCATCCGTAGGCCACCGTGAGTTATTGTAAAGGCCAGATATGCATTCAGTAATCTCCAACAACCCTTAACGAAGTGGAATGCATGACGCATTTCCTCGGGGTTTGATCAACACCGAGAGCTTCATCCTTTTTATACCCTTCCAGGCTTTGAAGAAACCGATACTGCCGAAACGCAAGCTTTACCGAAATAAAGAATAAAGTAACATGTTCAACGAAAACTTATAGAATTATTTATTAAGTGAACATTATGACGTCAGTGAACTATTTGATCAATGCCGATGTTAACAGAAATTCGGACTTGGGATTTGTTAACTGGGCCTTCATGGACAAAAAACAGTTGACTTACTTGGTGCCACAGGGAAGAAGTTTTAGTTTGGAAGAAATCTACGCTCACAAATCTTAATCTCATTTTTTGTGAACTCCTTAGAATTCTATTCGAGTTATAGTTTAAAAGGAAATTGGTAGATCACTGGTAGTGATTCCTTTCATTACGAGGACAACCTGCTTTGGCGTTAGTTCTAACCCGCGCCATACCCACCAAGCCTCTCATCTCTCGGGGGACAGGATTAACAGATTTGTCTGCGAAAATCCTGCTTGTCCTAGTCCCCGTGGAAATACTCCGCCACAGCTATCCCAACACTTCAGTTACAGCCGACTCAACAAGCATTCAACGACATACTTGATAAAGTCGAAAAAACACTCAAGCAAAAGCCGAACACACGCTAGAACTTTGAAGCCTCGCGAATAGCGGATATGAGGAGGCGAATCGAATGCAGGAAGTACTGAGATCCGCACTGTGTGTTGCAAGTGATGTCGGATCATGTAGTAGAAAAACAAATATTTTAAGTTGAGAATTCGAGTCTTCCAACTGATTTCGAGATTCTTTGTTGAATAGAGTTAATGTGTTCATTGTTTATGAAAGTGAGCATTGCAATGCAACCACGCTCGTTTTAGCACACGAATTGAAACCAATAGCGCTACGTGGTTAAGTTTACTGTTTGCCTGTGGATGTGCCTTCACTCGACATAAATGGTGTGTCGTTAAAATGGATGTCATCAGTGCAATCATTACACCAATTAGTTCATTCTGTGAAGAGAACGCTGTCAAAGTAAGTCTACTTCTTCTAGTTGGAACTTCATTTGAAGTGAACTTTCCTTTCGGACCTACAGTATCTTGCACTGCCTTAATCTCGCTTTCAATAACTTCTTTGCACTTATTTAGTTTACGTATTAAGAATTGTTTAAAAGTCACCTGCACCACCACACGAAGTTTTGTTGTTGATCAACGACAGCTTCGATCGATTTGCCAAGGAAGGTGTGTGTGAGTGGAGAGAGAGGGAGAGCTGTTTAGCGGGTTGTCGTTAGTCGCTGTTGCGTACAAGGGTTACTCAGTTTGTACTGTTTCTTGGAAGGACGCGAAGAGCATCACTTTTTCCTTCAGCGTACTCATAAAAATGACCACCAAGTAATTTTCTTCGTATTTTTGTTGAGCAAACGCGAGTTGTTATCATTCTTTGTTCACGATTAAGCTGACGTTTCGGCGGATTTCGCCTTCCTCAGAGCCTGGAAAGGTCAAGTTGATAGCAACCCACTCGGCCAGACGCCTCCATAACCAAACAAAGAAACTCCAAACCAAGATTTCAATCACTTTGAACACAGCTTTGCACACTCACCGCTTTCTATGAGGTTTCCACTAAGTATGTCACGTAGAGACCAACCGCACAGAAATCACATGGAAGTATAATGTGCCCCTCACATCAGAAAAGCAGTTTTATATACTGCCCTATATCACGCGTGATAATGAGGCATTCTTCCCTGCGGTTCATTTTCGGATTTCTGGAATTAATCCAGAGTGCATCGAGAGTTTTTCGCGCCTGTGTTCTTGATTCGCGTGCGAGGATCGTCACACATACTTCGAAGTCTTCCCCATTATGTCTCTGGGTCCTATGCGTGCCTAGCGGGGTATTTGGTCTATTTTTGCCGGCTAGGTGTTCTTTCATGCG